CACAAGCAGCCCACTCTATCCTCTGACGTGAGAAGAGATTTGGAGGCAGCTGCCAGGAGCCTTTTCTACTCTCAAATTGTTCACAAAAATATAAGCTACCTTTTTTGTTTTGTTTTGTTTTTTTTGTTGTTGTTGTTGTTTTTTGTTGTTGTTGTTGTTTCTGGACTAGTCTGTGTTCTATTCTGCCTGGAAGCTCAGGACTCAGGAGATGGACTGGTTCAAGTGGTGGGAAAAATAGACACCAATTATTTTGTCAACTGGGGAGACTCTTCAGTTTCAATCTATTTTTCACCAAATGCGAGGGTGAGAGATGGTGTGGAGAACAGTTCCGTGGAGTAGGGTTATGTTTCCCCAGGCTTCCATACCTATGTCCTCTGTTAAAAAAACAATTAACAAAGGGGCTTTGCTGGGGGCCACAAATGTCCTGAAATCACAAATGATTTAAAGTATCACTATGTAGTTCAAGCTAGTCTCAAACTCATAATCCTCCTGCCTCTGCCTTTTGAGTGCTGGGAGTACTTGTGTATGACACCACACTCAGCTTGACGCTTTTTAATCAATAGGAGAATTCATCATCTGTGTTAACAGTTTCTAACTTTTCACATCATAGGTACGTTTCTTTAAAAGGGCTACTCCTTGGGGAAGTACATTATTTTTTAAATACATATATATTTTTTTATTTTTTAGAAGCATTTCATTACAGCTTTAACATATTCAATGACAGTTTCCAGAGCAAAGATACATCTCTTTCAAAAGTGGCTATAAAATTTTTGGGTTCATTATTGAATTAATACAGTTCTACAATATTGAACTCAGTATAAACCCTGTAAGACATAAAATTGAATAAGTTTTCAACCCTTAAAAAAGATCTCCATTTCATTTTAAAATATACTCTTTCTTACAGAAAGACATTGTTTTTGCTAATAACATTGTGATGTTGGTGCATGCGTCTCTAATCTGTATGTATCTGATTATTGCTAGTCATAATCAGTTGCACTCAGATCCTTGGCATCTGTGTATGTCTATAAAGTCATCGGGTAGATTTCAGTGGTAATGTTTATCACCTCTACTAATTAACATGACATAAATTTTTATGCTTCCTCCTCAAATATAATTCATTTTTAAAAATTTGTTGATTTCTTTTTGTGTGTATATCACACAGAACATCCCAAACCATCTTATTCATCTACTCACCCACTTCCCAGATGGCACCCTCCCATAGCCTTCCCCTGCCACAAGAGCTCTTATACTCTGTCATCCCTGCTACTGTCCACTGAGTTGTCGGTACCCCAGCCGTTCCCCACTACTTGTCCATCGTTACATTATTTTTTATATTTTTTTATTATTTTTATTTTATGTGTATGAGTGTTTCACTGCATGTGTGTAAATGCATCTGTGTCATGCAATGCCTGCAGAGATCAAAAGAGGGTGTTGGATCCCCGGTACTGGGGTTATGGATGGTTGTTAGCCGCTATGTGTGTGCTGGGAATTGAACCTGGGTCCTCTGCAAGAACAGCCAGTGCTCTTAACTGCTGAGCCATCTCTCAGCCCCATAAAGCATATTATTAAAAAAAATTCTATAGTAAGTATTTACCAAGAGCCCACTGTGTCCCCAGCAGTGTGCTGATATTCAGTGTGAACCTGACCATCATCCCCAAAGACTCCCACCCCCTCAACTAGCAACTTCTTGTTCAATGCACAGTGTGCTGTGATCTTTCATACTTCCTGTTACCTCCAAATGACTCTAAGGGCTGTTTTTGCACTTGGGATGTGAAATCAAAATTGAGAGGTTTGTATCTCACTTTCCTAAACCCTCACGTCCTCCACTATAAATCACTAATTGGACCCTATCTTTTTTTCCACATACTTTCCACTATACATAATAATAGATTCAAAACAATTCTTTACTCAGCCCTTGTGGCACAAACCTGCAGTCTCGGATACTGAGGAGGCTGAGACAGGAGGATGGCTTGAGTCTTGGGAATTAAGGCCTATTTGAGCAACATTTAAGACAGCAACAAAAGAGAAACATCTCTCCTATAACTGCTTCTGAAGGGATTCTCCAGGGTATCACCATTCAAAAGTACAAAGTGACTAACCCACAAAGGCCACTTCCTTCTTAGAATAATCAATTCACTGAGCTCAGATATTTATTTAGACATTCTTGCATTTATGGCAAAACATCTAATGAGTGGTTCCACCTACCACCCACTACTTAATTTAGTTCAGTTCATCTTTGCCGAGCTGAGGGATGGTTTGAAGTGAGAGACCTTCCTGGCCACACCTGGTTCTGCCACACTTCCTGTTACCTCCACATGACTCTAAGGGCCAAAGGAACCTGCAACACAGCAGTTTCATGTCCCCACAACAGCTTCCAGAACTCTAGTTTGTACAAGTATTGTAATACTATGTAACGATAAACAGAGGAAACCCAGCCCAGCTTCTGAAGATCTGCTTGCCAAGATTCAGAAAGAAAAATGCTAAGTAAATCAGAAATTAGTTTGGCTGTAGTTGAGCCCCTCAGATAGCCCCACTGGTGGTGATGGGGTAGATTTCTCTCCTATAAAGTGAGATGCCAAGATCAGGGGGAACATCTGCAGTTGCACAGGGGGAAAATCACTCTTTAGAAATTATTCATTATCTGTGACCTAGGTGACCTCAATGAGAAGGCAAGGCCATTAATGTTAATCAAGACAAAAACCAAATTACAACTTGTAATTGCCAGTAATCCTTTTCTAATCAGAATTTAGCATTTCTCTGATAAAAAGCATTTAGAGACATGCTTTTCAGAAAATAAATGTCAATGCAGAGTTGAGAAGACTGTGCTGTGTGATGATGCTGCCTGGTCTAAAGTTTTGCCTGCGTTCCTATGTCCTGGGGGACTACTGCTTCCTTGGCAAATTGAGGGCACTGGATCACAAGGCAGCTAAGGACTCTGTGTGTGTGTGTTTGTGTGTGTGTGTGTGTGTGTGTGTGAGAGAGAGAGAGAGAGAGAGAGAGAGAGAGAGAGAATATGAATGAATTCCTGTAGCCTTAGCTGGCCTGGAACTCCTTATGTAGATCAAACTGGATTCAATCTTACAGAGATTCAGCTGCCTCTGCCTCCCATGTGCTGGATTAAAGGTGTGCCACTATGGCCAACCACAGCTAAGGACCCTTTATGTCCTAAAAGTCTTTGGATTCTATAAGTAAAGTTATAGAAAATTAAAAATACCAAAACACATACAATCTTATTGCTGATGAGGCAAGTTCCACAGCTTCCCCTATCAACAACACAATATTAAATGAGTAAGGAAAACTCTAGAAGAACATTGTCTTGCTGTCCTGTTACCATGGCAACCTGGTGAACTGGCAGAACTTCATCAATCTGATGCTCCAAAAGACTAGAACAGATAAACACCATATGGTTAAATAAAGATGCTCGAGTACATGATTAGTAGCCAGCTCAGGCTCGCTCCACCAAAGCTGTTACATCAGGAAATTCAGTGATGATTAAAAATAGCTAAAAGTACTGCTCACGGTGGCAAAGAGGTGGCCCTGGATGAGGACCAGTTCATTTATAGTCAGTGAGTTTCAGGCTTCCACAACCATTTTAGAAGACCCGGTCTCTACTAAATGGAGAAGCTGAAGCACAGAGAGGGGAGTGGCTTGTCCAAGGCCACGCCCCTCCCCCTCCCCCTC